TAAAGTTTATACAGTGCAGACAGTCAGATACTCTCAATAACGTAACTAAGAAGGTATGTTACTGTAACATAATAGCATATGACATATCAGGACTGTATAGGTTTTTTCAGGCCCATAACTCAACTGAAGCTTATCCGCTGTTTCTGCAAGTTCGAAAATTCTTGGTAAAAGTTTGAGCATGCTAACATAATCTTATGAAAACGATACTCGAACAGGTAATTACACTGAAACTTTACTACATTAGTTCAGGAGTCTAAAAAAGAAGGTTTATTTCCAAAGCCCCTATATCTAATGGAGTATACTACAGAGCATTTTAGGTTCACTGTGGCGGATGAGAGTGAGCTTATTAAGGTAGTCAAAGAGGGATGCCTCACTGCGATCTGGCGCATTAGCCGTTAATACAATACAACGCTTATACTACGAAACATGCAGGCACATTAACTTCAATTTATGGTCAGTAGCATGCCTTGTGAACAGTCACAACGTTAGATTTGCAATCCAGTGGTCTAGTTCAATTGGCCAATTAACACGGTACAAGACAAAAGCTAAGAAATAAGACAAACGTGTTAAAACAATCTCTAATTACAGACTAATATGATGCGATGATCCTGATAAACTTATGTATTCATTGTATCATTCATTGGTAATGCTTTATATCAAGTTGTGACTCACAGTATTAAGTTGATTAGGACATTTATTAGGAGGGCCTGCTAAAGATAAAAAGTAGAAATACCTTTTAACGTCTTTTTCACCAGAATGAAGTTGATGGATGTCACCACAAACTACTTGTCTGTCGCACTCTAGGTAGTCTTATATCAAGTTTGCTCATAATAAATTTAGAACATGGCTCTTTAAGGGAGTGTCTGAGCCAAGCTAAAAATAGAAAAAACCTTAAGACATCTTCTTCTACAGAACTTATTGATGGATGATCATCAAACTTTGTCTGTAGCATTTTTGGGTAGTCTTTTATCAAGTTTGCTCATATTAATTGGATTGGCCCCTTTAAGGGGTGTCTAGAGCTAAAAATAGAAAAAACCTTAAGACATCTTCTTCTACAGAATTAATTGATGGATGATCACCAAACTTTGTCTGTAGCATTTTTGGGTAGTCTTTTATCAAGTTTGCTCATATTAATTGGATTGGCCTCTTTTAGGGGCCGCTAAAGTTAAAAATAGAAAAACCTTTGAACGTCTGCTTCTACAGAATTAATTGATGGATGATCACCAAACTTTGTCTGTAGCATTCTTATTTCTTAGGTAGTCTTTTATCAAGTTTGCTCATATTAATTTGATTAGCCCCTTTAAAGGGCTGGTAAAGCTAAAAATAGAAATACATTCAAACATCTCCTTTTACAGAACTAACTGATGGATGATCACCAAACTTTTTCTGTAGCATTCTTGGGCTTTGTCTTTTTATCAAGTTTGCTCATATTATTTTGATGGCCCCTTTTAGGAAGCCTTCTAAAGCACTAAATATACGAACATAGCCATTTAAACAATCTGACCTTCTACAGAACTAAATTTATAGATGATCACCACATATTTTGTACTAGCCATTCTTAAGGTAGGTTCTTTTACTCAAGTATTGCTCATATTAATGTGATTGACCCTTTGTAGGGGTCAGCTAAAGCGTAAAGAAAAAGAAAAAACCCTGATTGAACACTCATTTCCTACTGAAAATAATTCATAAGATCGATCAACCAATTTTTGTTCTGTAAGCAATATCACTCAGGGTAGTCTTTATCAAGTTTGCTTATATAATTTGATTGCACCATTTTAGTGGTCTGCTAAGCTAAGAATAGAAATACCGTCTTTAAAACGTCCCCCATCTAAGAGACTAATTGAATGAATGAACCAAAACTTTGTTTTGGTGCATATCTTGAGGTAGTACTTTAATCAAGTTGCGCACTATCAAAATATAGAAAAGCATTATGAAAAACTACATCTCATACGGAAAAATTGGATGGAGACTCACAAAACTTGTATCTTTTGCAATTCTTAGGTCGTACTTTATCAAGTTTCGCTCATAATTAAACTTGATTGGCTCTATTAAGGGGCTAAAAGCATTAGAAATGCTCACAGGCCTGGTATTTGTATCTTATCATTGCTGATTGCGTTTATTAAAAGATATTGCTGTTGCTTCAAGGATTTAATATATAGAAAATATTGGACAATAGGATAATCTTCCAACAATCAGAAAGCAGTTGTTTCTGGTGAGCAACGTCAGGGCCATACATGACCCTCATTGTTTGGAGAATTTTTTGGTTAAAGTTTTGCAGATGCAACAGTCAGCTCTCAGAACTACTGAAGTAATCACTGGAAACTAAATAATAACAAGTTTTAATGATCATACATGGAGGTTTATACAATATATTTACTTCAAAACATAATTCCAAAACTTAAACTCCCAGGGCATTGATTTTGATTGATTTTAGCAATTTACCAAGAATTTTCTGGGTTAAATTTTGCATGGCAACACCAATCTTTAAAACTACGGAAGGTAGTCATTTGATAATGCTTAAATGTTCCTATTTACAGCTGGATGTGTCCTTTTCAACTATTGTTTAATTGAAATGTGTTTTTATTCAGGTAATGAAATAAAATGGAGGACATGTGTGAAGAAGACGTGACAAATTCAATGCCAAGGGATCCACATGTAGAGGCTGGTGCCATCAGCGACTGAACCTGTTGTATTAACAAGGAAACATGTAGAGAATAAAGCGTAGTTTTCAGCACGAAGACTATTTTCCTGCTAGCTGTTCCTAACATAAAAATCTCTACGTGTTCAATGGAGAGTATTGAGGTCACTTTGTCAAAGACACTGAGATGTTCAACCTCGAGCGTCCTGAATAATGCTACTGGAGGGAAGTCCTGAATGGTCTTCACTCCACGCATAGAACGCTGGAACTCAGTATTACTGACACCCTACTTACTCGGTCGATGTGTCGATGTGACGTAAAACAAAAAAACAAAAAAAACCTCAAGGTCATAGATGCTTAGAATATATGTTTCTTTTTTAAAAGCCATCATTAATTCATTATGTACTTAGCTATTTGGTTTCTTGTATGAACTTGACTATGAATTATGTAGTTGAAGTAATGACAAAACAGGATAAAACAATAGAGAAATGTATTTTATTTATGCACAGAAGTATTATAATTTAAAAGCAGAAATAAAAATTATAAGAAATATATGAAAAAAATTTACACTGGTGTAACCACAATGAAAATTAACACCATTTGAATGTTATTCTTACAAAGCAAGTTAATATTAGCAGGCTGTCCAGCGTCCCTAAAATTCCTAAAAAATCCTAATTTTTTTCAGTTTGGCTAAAATTCCTAAAAAAATGAAAAATTCAAAGGGAATTCCTAAAAATGCCCTATTTTTTCACTTAAATTCCTATTTTTTTATCCTTTGTGATAAACATATCCAGAAACAACCATGTTTCAATCTTAACCTAAATTCAAACGCAGTCAGTGGAGTTGATATCATGTCTGACTAAATTGCATAAGTCACATGTTGCATATACTTCATTCCTGCAGAAATGCCATACTTGATGTCAGATGTTATCAGAAAATAATAAGAAACTGGTTTGTTTTAAATGGAACAATGAAAATTGTACCACTTTGACTATATCAAAATAGTCACTTGTTTTAAAATTGTGATAAAAATTTCCAAGGAAGTCATATTTTTATTGGCTACAGAGTTTTACCATTTACCTCAGTCTTAGGTGGTATTTAAAGCAACTATTTACACAAATCACCACTAAATTTCACCAGACTTTATGCAGGGGTCCTTATTAATAACGTCTTAATTTTGTAATCAAGTTATTTTCAAGTGATGACTGTAGAACAGATCTTATGTAAGTGATACCAGCTGGCAGATCTAGCAAGTTTCCATATTTGCTAATTATAAAATGGGTAAGGTAAACTGGCAGTAATGATTGAATGCTTTAACCATTTTGTCTACCAATTAGCGTATAAGAAGTGACACCTTCAGCTGCCCTTTTGTACACATTAACATGTATTGACATATGTTATATACATGTAGTGTAAGTTTTTTTAAAATCTGGAAAAAAACTGTTGAAAGTCATTGAAAAAACTGACACTGTTGTGAAATTTTCTACAATTTTTAGTAGCCTGATTTATCTTGAACAATGAAATTTTCTACAATTTTTAGTAGCCTGATTTATCTTGAACAATGAAATTTTCTACAATTTTTAGTAGCCTGATTTATCTTGAACAAATTCTTCATAGGTGTATATCCTGCTGTTTGAATTTAAGTTTAAATATGCCTGGGAATGACTCTAGTGGGTCATATCATTTTTATTGTTTTTTAAGAAAGATCAAGACTTGTTTTAAATGTACCAAATAAGAAATGCATTTATAGCTAAAATAAATTTAAAGCATAACTTCCTCTTCCATTTATTATAGGGCTTATTATATCTTTACTTGATTAATTGATCAGATGTTATCAAAAAATATAAGAAACTGTTAGTTTTAAATGGAACAATGAAAATTGTACCACTTTGACTATATCAAAATAGTCACCTGTTTAAAATTGTGATAAAAAAGTTTCCAAGGAAGTTGCATTTTTATTGGCTAATCATAGCTTAAGTAATTGAATATTGGTTGTTCCTGGATTCTTATAACTTTGAAAATGTTTTCATTCTAGTTATGTTTTAATGTAGTTTTTCAGCTCTTTTTAAAGGCAGTTGACCAGTGAATCAATTTATTCACTGGTGACTATGGAACACTGGTAACACCTTTGCTATAACCGAACTAGAGCATTATTTGTGAGTTACTTTTGTGTCAAATATGCAAAATTGAGCCCATATAATGGTCTTTTGAGGCCATAATTTAGTATAAAATTCCAAATTTGAGCCCTAAAATTTCTTTCATTTACCCTAAAATTCCTAAATTTTAGCCCTAAAATTTCTTAAAAATTGCCCTAAAATTTGCCCTAATTTTTTGTCAGAAGGTGCTGGACAGCCTGTATTAGCATTGCACTATATATGCATCAATGAAAAGAATGACTCTTTTTTACTGTATATCATTCTTATTTTGGTTGTGTAATGAATAAAAATGTATCTTTTGTGTTTATTACCAAATTTATTGAACTTGTTGAATGCAACAATATTAGGTTCACCAAATACTTGCATAATATGACTTTATTCATATTGTTAAAAAAAAACAGTATTGATTTTTATCATTCTTTTAATATCACAAATAACAATTGAAGCAGATGCATTCTAAAATGGGAAGTATAAAACCTATAATAGAAAAGTATGAATAACACTTTGTATATTATTTGAGCAAAGGCATGGATTTACAGACATGTTTATTTTTCTTTTTGTATTGTAATCGTTTGGTATGCTGATTAAATAGCATACATTTCAATGTTATCATCTGCCAATCTGCTTATACACATCTTAGTCATTTGTTGATTACAACAAACTGATCTAATTTGCCCTTTTCCGCTATCAGCTTTTATAACCTCTCCTATCAGCTCGCCGTCAGATGTAAACTGTAAAACATTGTTAGAGTCAAATCCAGATACAAGCACACTACCTGCTTCAATGAGATAACAACATGTAGCCCTGTTTAATTGTTCATCATTAAATGATGTAATTAAATGACCATTTTTGTCCAGTACTATCAGTCCAGTATTGTAGTCAGCAACATAAATCCTTGTAGCATCCTTACTGACAGCTAGACTGTGTATGTTAGAGAACAGCTTATGTCCTGATTGTTTCTTACTGAACTGATTAAGCTTCCTACCTGACAATGTATACATATATACTGATGTGTCATGGTCTGAAATATATAAATTATTGTTTGCATATGCAAGACCATAACATTTAAAATCAGTGTTAATCTTGTTTGTTGTTTTCATTTGTCTTTCTAGAGAAATGAGATGAACTTCCTTTTTTGATGGCACAGTTACTGCCACTTGTGTGTTATTGATCACACACATTTGCCATGGTCCTCCAGGTAGATCACAGTAGTCTGTGACAGTAAAGTTATAACTGTGTAACCGTTTAAGTTTGTTGTTATTGTGATCAGCTAGAATTTGTGTACCATCTTCCATATAGCAGGCATTCCCAATATAACAACCGTGTTGATCTGACTTTACTTTTATGTTATATGATTGTTTTCCTTTTATTTGAAATGAATTGCCAGAAGTCTTTGTAGGTGTCTGTGATGGTATGCCCAGGGATTTCTTTTGTTGTAGCTGTGTAAGAATTGTTCTATCAGGTTGAAACTCTATTGCATCTACTTTACTTTTCATTTTGACATGCTCCATATATTTGTTGGCAACATTTGCAGCATCCTCTCCCATCTTAACATTAACAAACTTTTCACATTGATTTGTGTTTGTAGTTGCTAATTTATCGCAAGCTGATTTAACTCTGGACTTGTTTGCTTGTAGCTGTTTGAGACTATCTTCTATCTTGTCTTCAATACTTTTTACTTTATCTTCTATCTCATCTATAGAACTTTTCTCCAACTTGTCAAGTTGGTCATTGATTTCTTGACGGAATTTTCTAATATCAGCCAGTATTTCTGCTTTCCTCTTTAACAGCCTTTGTTTATCCTGTTTAATTATATCAGCTTGTTTTGCAAAGGTCTTGGCTATTTCCTTGAGTTTTGTGTGAATTTCTCTTGGTGCAACTTGATAAGTGTTATTTTGGATAAATTCTGGTATGTAAAATGTATCCTTGCATAATCTGAAAAATAAGTTAAGACAGTTTATGTATTAGAGGCAATGAGACGACTGAAGAGATAATATGTTCTTAATTGTTACATATTTAAGATTTAAACATTCCATATTCATTAAAAAAAATAATCTCTGTTATATCTAGAAAGAAAATATTACCTGTGATCAACTGCCATACATGTAGAACAGCCAACATTATCGTGGTTCTGACAGTACATATCAATGTGTTTATGACTGTGTCTGTCACATCTCTCCGTTGGTGCTCTTGGCAGACATTTGCTGGTTACTGTATTAACTTGAGATTTATTCAGCACCTTGTGACCAACTAATGCAGGTACTTCGTTATGAACTTGAACACAAGTTCTACAAAAGTAATCATGACAATATACACAGAATTTTTCGGCTTCCGTATTTTTTCCTTTATTTTTACACATTGAACATAAAACATCAAATATTTCATCCGAAAACATATCTGTATAACTTTGTCCTCCTGTAGCCATTTCGTTGTTTTTTTTCCAACTACAGGTCTGTTAGTTGATCTATTCACATTGTATAATCGATAGAAATTGGCCCTATTTCTTTCAGAGATATTTTAAATTTTGAACATTGATATAGTTTATAATTATGATAACTGTAAAGCCTTAAGTATCTTGTACATCGTACTTCAGTAACAATCACAGTTTTTATACACTTTTCATTTACATTTATCCTCTCTTATTATTATATAATGCTGAAATGATTTGATCAACTTTTATTTAACATTCTCAATGGTGTCCTTATACCTCTTTGCACAAAGATGAACTTAATTGGTGAAATATCAACTAAAGTTCACATTCAATACTACATTTTTAAACATTAAGATTTATAGATTATTTACATAGGGCTGGTTAAAAAAGGTTAAAAAATATGCTATTTAAATCAATAAAACTGGAAAGAAAATATCTAACCTTGAATAATCAAATGATAGAAAAAGTTATATGAATGGCCTCTTTATGCAAAAAATTACGTACTTCAAAAATGAACTGGTGCAGAATAAACCATTTTTTGCCATTTTTGATACTAGGATTTATGTGAGGGGTTGTCCAATGAAAGTTTTAATTAGACGTCATTATCAAAGGGAGACTTATATGAATAAAGGAATGAGTACAGAATCACCTCTCTAAATTCAGATTTTAAAAATTAGTCCAGTAAAAATCTTTTAGTACTTTTATTGTACCTATTGAAAACATACTGGTTTCCTAGCAGTTTTAAGACACAAAAGATTCGCCCTTTCTTACAAGTAAAATTAGAATCTGTCAAAGGTCGATTACACAACTTTGACAGACCACAGTTAGGTACATTTCTATCATTATCATACTTTCAATGTTGCTTCTTCACTTTACTTCTAAACTGGAATATTAGCCTGAAATTTAACACCTTTTCTGACATTCATTTAAACTTTCATAGCAATTTTTTGGACCTTTTTAGCTCGACTTTTCTATGAAAAGGGGAGCTATCCTACTCGCCCCGGCGTCGGCGTCGGCGTTGGCGTCACACCTTGGTTAAGTTTTTCGTACCACCCCACTTTATTTCAGAAGTATTACAAGTATGGCTTTGAAACTTACCATACTTGTTCACCATCATAACCTCCATCTACAGACAAGAGTACATAACTCTGTCAAGGTTTTTGACAGAATTATGGCCCTTTTTTGACTTAGAAAGTGTATTGAGCTTGGTTAAGTTTTTTGTACCACCTCACTTTATTTCAAAACCATTGGAGGTATTGCTTTGAAAGTGACCATACTTGTTTACCATCACGACCTTCATCAACAGACAAGAGGACATAACTCTGTCAAGGTTTTTGACAGAATTATGCCCCTTTTTGACTTAGAAAATACATTGAATATGGGTAAAATCCACTTATTGCCTTAACCCTTTGAGATATTGCTTTGAAACTTTTAATGCTATTTCACATCATTACCCCCATCTGTACGCAAGAGAAGGTAACTCTGTCAAGGATTTGTTTTAAAAATTAAGGCCTTTTATCGACTTAGTTTTTTTTTCTTTCTTACCAGCCCTCTTTTGACTTAAACATTTCAAACTTTGCTGCAGTGTTCAAGGGTATCACACAATTCAGTAAAATAATTCTTCACTAAATATCTTAATGCTCATGGCCATTGTTCACTTTAAAAATACAGAGATTCTTGTATTGCCTTTTACTGCAAAAACTTTTTTTATTGGCAAGCAATAAAAAAGTCGAGCGCGCTGTCTTACGGACAGCTCTTGTTAATTATGAATGTAAGTCAGTACCAGTGAGTAAGCAATGGTAAGATAATTTTCTCAAAGAAATAGAAGTTTCCAACCTTTTCCAAGTCGTCTGCAAATATATTGTTTTACTTAGAATTGGGCAACAATTATTGCTCATGAGCTTTTAAACTGGAATTCCCCAATGGTTGCTTATTTCTAACTGTCGCAAGACCTCTAAGGTAACCTTGAATAACAGGCCAAACTTCAAAGCATATTAACCGCAGCAGTTAGTATTTTAATTACTGTGTTGCCTTGAAAACAAACGTCTTTTTGATTTCATGAAGTAGCACACATACTTTATCGGTAAAAATATATTGTACTGGGTGAATATTGATAGAGTCCGAAAACTGCTAGGCCTTAGTAACTGATAGAAAACCAATATGAATTTATGTTCAGATTACTAAAAGAGGTCAATTAGAAAAAAAATCTATTGAAAAGTTTGAATACTATGATCTCCTAAACATTTTATCCTAGAGTGTTGTTAGTATTATATTATGTGGACACATGTTTATGAAATTTATAATAAATTTCTATTATAGAAAATGTATTTTAACAATCTCATTAAAATCATATCCTAACTGTCGCTCCACTACCCGTTCGTTAAAGACGAAACCAATGATCTGATTTCAATGAGATTGGTATTTTGATAACCAAACATTGCTTGATGTCATGTAGATAAAAATGACATAGTTTTTTTCACACCTTATAAAATGTAACCAATGAACTTCCAACGAAGTGAGCATTTGATTTCCCCAGTATAAATATTCATTAGTTCAAACTTAATCAATTTAGCCTCATTTTTATATTGCCAGTCCAAAAATTCCATAATATTGTTTTCCATCTAGCCTAATAAAATACATTACGGTAGTTACTCTGTATAGGCTTGTTTACATTTTTTCCAAAAAGAAAATCATTTCAAATCGATTTGTACTCAAAGTGAGAAAGTTTTGTCAAAAGTGAAAAAATGGTGCTGTGAAATAACGAAGACATTATACACTGTTGAGTTGGACGCGTACATATGCTGCAAAACCTATAGATTTGGCTAGCGCCTGGTTCAATAAAGGCTTGACAGCTGCGTGCTTTTCCAGTAGAATTCATTATTTTACTATACAATGTATCACAATCTCATAACTTATGTACATGTATAATAATGGCGACTCATGTGAGATCCTATATTGTAAAAATATGAATATCAATCACTTAACCATTTTATTTTAAAAAAGGAGAATGTAACTGAAGGGCATTATCATATTTTTAAAGATTTGATAATATTTAAACGTTTTGTTTTTAGCTCACCTGTCACAAAGTGACAGGGTGAGCTTTTGTGATCGCTTTTCGTCCGGCGTCCGTCCGTCCGTCCGTCGTCCGTCCGTAAACTTTTGCTTTAAATGACATCTCCTCATAAACCACTGAGCCAATTTCATCCAAACTTCACAGGAATGTTCCTTTGGTGGTCACCTTTAAAAATTGTTCAAAGAATTTAATTCCATGCAGAACTCTGGTTGCCATGGCAACCGAAAGAAAAATCTTTAAATATCTTCTTTTAAACAACCCTAAGAGCTAGAGCTTAGATATTTGGCATGAAACATCTTCTAATGAGTGTCTACCAAGTTTGTTCAAATAAAAGCCCTGGGGTCAAAATTGGCCCCGCCCCGGGGGGTCATTGATTTTCCCTATATGCATATAGTAAAAACTTAAAAAATCTTCTTTTAAAGAACTGTAAGAGCTAGAGCTAAGATATTTGGCATGGAACATCTTCTAGTGAGTGTCTACCAAGTTTGTTCAAATAAAAGCCCTGGGGTCAAAATTGGCCCCGCCCCGGGGGGGTCATTGATTTTTCCTATATGCATATAGTAAAAACTTAAAAAATCTTCTTTTAAAGAACTGTAAGAGCTAGAGCTTAGATATTTGGCATGAAACATCTTCTAATGAGTGTCTACCAAGTTTGTTCAAATAAAAGCCCTGGGGTCAAAATTGGCCCCGCCCCGGGGGGTCATTGATTTTCCCTATATGCATATAGTAAAAACTTAAAAAATCTTCTTTTAAAGAACTGTAAGAGCTAGAGCTTAGATATTTGGCATGAAACATCTTCTAGTGAGTGTCTACCAAGTTTGTTCAAATAAAAGCCCTGGGGTCAAAATTGGCCCCGCCCCGGGGGGTCATTGATTTTCCCTTTATGCATATAGTAAAAACTTAAAAAATCTTCTTTTAAAGAACCCAAAGAGCTAGAGCTTAGATATTTGGCATGAAACATCTTCTAGTGAATGTCTACCAAGTTTGTTCAAATAAAAGCCCTGGGGTCCAAATTGGCCCCGCCCCAGGGGGTCATTGATTTTCCCTATATGCATAAAGTAAAAACTTAACAAATCTTCTTTTAAAGAACCCAAAGAGCTAGAGCTAAGATATTTGGCATGAAACATCTTCTAGTGAATGTCTACCAAGTTTGTTCAAATAAAAGCCCTGGGGTCAAAATTGGCCCCGCCCCTGGGGGTCATTGATTTTCCCTATATGCATATAGTAAAAACTTAAAAAATCTTCTTTTAAAGAATCGTAAGAGCTAGAGCTTAGATATTTGGCATGAAACATCTTCTAGTGAATGTCTACCAAGTTTGTTCAAATAAAAGCCCTGGGGTCAAAATTGGCCCCTCCCCAGGGGGTCATTGATTTTCCTTATATGCATATAGTAAAAACATATAAAATCTTCTTTTAAAGAACCCAAAGAGCTAGAGCTAAGATATTTAGCATGAGACATGTTCTAATAAGTGTCTACCAAGTATGTTCAAATAAAAGCCCTGGGGTCAAAACTAGCCCCGCCCCGGGGGTCATTGATTTTCCTTATATACATAGCAAAAACTTAAAAATCTTCTTTGAAAAAACCCAAATAACTAGAGTTTAGATATTAAGCATGAAACATCTTTAAGTAAATATCTACAAAGTTTGTTCAAATAAAAGCCCAGGGGTCAAAACTGGCCCTGCCCGAGGGGTGTCATTGTTTTTAACTATATGTGTAAAAACTTAAAAAATCTTCTTTTAAAAAACCCAATGAGCTAGAACTGAGATGTTTTGCATGAAACATTTTCTTATGGGTGTCTACCAAGTCTGTTCAAATAAACAAATAAAAGCCCTTGGGTAAAAATTGAGCCCGGGGGGGGGGGGCTATATACAGGTGAGCGACCTCAGGGCCATCATGGCCCTCTTGTTAATTTTGCAGATGCAATTTGAGTTAGTAAATGTCTCAGCTTTAAGAATTATTCTACAACAACCTTCCTGTGTTTGGAAAGAATTTAAAATCGAAGATCTCAAGATATACAGATCATCCGAGGTCAGTACATTATAATGTCATGACAAAATTAAATCTATAATTCTTCTCCATTTTCAAATAATGATTTTATTTATATGTTAAGAAAATAAGGTTCTCTGTAACAAATTGTTAGACAAATAGTGGTTACTATAGTTGAAAGTATTTATATACAGGTTAAGTTGTTGTTAAAAATCTTGTCTGGAACTTTGTAGGTGAATGTATGGGGAGGTATTAATAGCTTCTATAGCGTCCTCTGTTTGTCTGTCCTTTAGTGTTTCCATCTTTCAGTAATAAGTACCCAACTCAACCCAAGATCAAGATTTCACTAAGACTTTTTAAGTATAGTTTCAGAAAAGTACATGGATGCATTTGTCCAGTAATAAATTAAGTCATTAATGAATTGATTCTGAAAAAACTAGACATACTTTTATGGCTCAGTAGAAAATCTTTTACACCAAACCTCAGGTCGATAGCTTGGAAGTGGAAGGTTACACTTGGATGTCAATATAGAACATTGATGGTTGTGCATGGTCAAATCTTGAAATAATTGGGCACACTGAGAATGTCATATACTCCTACCATCGTTCCTTTGTTGTAAGTCAAAGGTCATTGTTCTTTTATTGGGCCCTACTTTTGGAGCATTATTGTCTGTTTTAATGATAGCTCTTGTCAAACTGTCAAATTTGCCTGAAACGACAAATTTCTGAAAGTATGGTCTATTGTGATTTTATGCCCCTTATATTTTCGGGCATATAGACTGGCCCTTATCTATCCTTGCTGCTGGTAAGCTGTCTCTAGACAGGCAGAACGGGAATGTGAAGGCAAACAATTTTGTCCTGTGAACACATTTCTAGTAAATTTTCGCAATAAGTGCCTTGCAGATGAATGTGGTTCTTTAACAGTACAGGATTCACTTTATCTTTAATGATTATAAGAGGAAGTGTTTTATAAATGTTTTGGATGAGTGATTAAGTATTATCTCCTCTATAAATGAATATTTCTATTTTGGATATTTTAGTCAGGACGTCCAAATCCCCTTCCTGCTTGGCTCACAGATACTCCAAGTAAATCTGGAAAGAAAAAAGTTGAGGTAAATTTCATTCGATTTTGTTCACTCTTTATTACACAAACCATATATTTTACTAAGTAAGGATGTTGTTCTTTTTGGGGGAAATGTTTTTTTAAATTTTAATGATAAAGTTTATTTTCTCTTTATACTTAAACCTCTCTGGCTAGATTTATAGACTTTTACTTTTTTATTTCTTTGATAGCATGCTAGCTAATATTTACCAGTATCAGTAATAAGTAAGAGATTGTTTACACGGGACATAAAATAGAATATTGTTTGATTTCCATTCCGCTACCTATCCACAAAAACCGCCGCTACCCAAAAAAAAAATTATTTCCAAAACAAAAATAACATGGACGCAGAGTCTGTCAATGAGAATCACATATTTATAAATGTCTCATGATTTTGCATTGTAAGTATACAAACTCGGATAAATGTTGAATATTTTTTCCTGACTACTCAATCTAAAATGGCATGGTCACGGGAGGGGAAACAACGATGATTTTAAGTTTGGTCTACGCATTTAGAATTGGTCACTTTCACCTTATGCGTGATTTTACTTGACCTCACATATATTAACACTTCAAGATTTTCTAAATCCTTTTATTCCTTTCTTATGCTATATACTGAATAACGAAGTAATTTGTTAATAATTTATTGTATTTTTCAATAGTGGTTTTGGTAACTTTTTTTAATATTAATTGATCAACTCTTTTGTTGCTATGGCAACCAGCCAACAGAGGAGGACTGGTTACCCCCACCAGTTATCAAAAAGGATCCTGATGTAATGGTAAGATACAAATAACACAAGTATTTATAACTAACCTTTTTGTTTTAGCGTTGTTTGTAGAATTAATACATAGCTTTTTTATTTTTTAGTTGTCGGGAATGTTGAACAGCAAAAATATTAATTATAATTACCTCTTACTATTTTGGTAATTGTTGCACTTATAATAAAAAGCTCTTCAAAATTTTGTTGTCATTAAATATTTTGTTTTAGAAAAGTGTCCACCCAAAGCAGGTAAACATTGTTAATGAACAATAAATTATTCTAAGCTCAATAGGTAGGGTACCGAGGCTGCTTGTTTAATCTTGAGCAAGGGGAAATATCTTTCTGACATTGGGTCTCTGAAATTGAATCTAATGGTCATTTATCTCATTTATCTCTCAATGCTAATAAATAAATAATTTTTTATTAGTAGTTTTCACTACTGAGAAATTGGTTAGTATTGGAAAATTATCCACAAAAGCAGGTTAGGTGGTAGGTGGCCATCCTCCAAAATCAAAATATGACAAACTTTTAGTTGAAATAGGGATAAAACCAAATAAGAATAAAAAACGTAACATATGGTTGGTTGTGTATTGTTTTACAGAAAACATAATCAGTTTTATGTTGAAGTGGCGGTTTGTTACTGGTTTCCAATGTTGAATCAAATATAACATATCAGAGACTAATACTCAATTAACAGACGGTTCATAGGTTGAGATACAATCTGTTGTAACTAGATCCTACTTAATTGCATGCTAACCTTGGATAAGCTGAGATTCTTTAATGTAGCTCGATTTTTGCAAGGTATTTTATGCTCTTAATGTCCTTACAGTGATTTAGCAATAGTTTAACATTTAGTGGGGTAAAAGTTCCTAAAATAGTATAGTATGTAATGTTTTCTGCTCATCCTTATACGATTCATCCTGAAATTGTGATGTTTTTTTGTGATAAATATTTTCATTTGCATTCTTTTATTTACGTATATTTGATTTAACAATAATTGAAACAGTGACCTTGTGATAAAGGTGCCTAAAGCTCTCAATAGTTATACTAGGCTCACACTCATATGACAATTGACTGTTGTACAGAGTCTAAGGCTTTAAAACTTTTTCTGAGACCTGTCTCTGAACATTTGTATTTTCATTAGTCCATGTACAATTTGTGCCTGAGGTTTTAGTTTGATCTGAGAAAATGTCTAGGTTTATTTCAAGATGCGACCTTGAGAATGGTTCGAATAAACTACAAACTGTCTTGCAAAGAAAATCAAGCATCAATATAAACAACCCTTTTTATATACTTTTCAAAGTAGTAATTGTGAATAGATTGACAGTCACCTGAATAAAAGCAACTATACCTGTGAGCATTTTCTGCCAAATCCAGTAAACGTTAAAACTCTTTATACTTTAAAACATTTTTGAAGCAAAGTTAGATTATGATGAAAATGAAAGAAAAAAAAGATACTTTAATCTGCTTTTAAACTATTATAATTGGGAGTATGTTAATATCAAAAAGCTGATTTTTGAGCAGTCTATTGCATAGATTATAAGAAGGATATGCAGGTTGACCTGGCTCTATACCACTTGCCCCTCACCTCTGTGGGTTCGAATCACGACAGGGACTTTGGATTCTTTCATGTGAGGATGCTATCCAGCTAGCTTACGGAATGTCGGTGGTTCTATTCAGGTCCCCGTTCGTGCCTGAAATAATGCACGGAAGGGCACCTGAGATCTTCCTCCACCAGTAAAGCTGGAACGTCGCGATATGACCTATACTGTGTCGATGTGACGTAAAACCCAAAACAAACAAATACACAGGACACGAGGAACAGGCCTGTTATTACCTTTGCATGCAATCAGAGGTCTAATGTAATGATCTTTGTTAGAAAGATTTAATTAGAAATATATTAAGTTTGAGTAGAATGTCAAAATACATGTATCTTCTATTTAGAAAAAAATGCTTTAATGTATAGCTTGATTGTAAATATCGTGCACAAAATATACGGCATTAAATGTATACAACTTTGTGTATCTTTCACCTTTATACATATATCAGGCTTATGCCAATTAAGACCACTTTTAAAAAATTGTTTGTTTGCCAACTCGGACTTAAATGGTGTGGTCAGAATTGTTTTCTAACACTTTTCACTGTGTACAGGTTCTCTTACATTAGTGTCAAGGCCACTGTAAATGCAGTTTTTCCAGAAACGTCTTGTACGACTTCATTTTCACAACAGCCACATGACTTTGAGTCGAGTCATAAACCATAAACAGCAGTCACTGCTTAGGGTCTTTAACTCGAGCATTGGTTAAATTTTAAGGTGCTATGTTGACCTTCTAAGCAACCATGGATATTCATTTGAAACGTATTACTTGTCAGTAGGATCATTATTAGAGCCGATATTTCCAACGTGAAATATGTCTAATTATTCCCTTTTGTTCCAAACGTTTAGGTTGAAATTTTGCAATCTTCAAAAATGTAAGCTTAGTTCGTGCGTTAAAGATAACAATCAAAGAGCACTTTTATAGACCCATTACTCTTGCATGGATTTAGAATGAAATATGGCTCTCTGTAAACTTGGAAAATTCCTGCGTCACTTATAACTTACAACTTAAATCCTCTTTGTTGATTCCTACAATTTAGGTTTGAACTGGCAAACAAACTGTAGTTTAAAATGTAACTTTAATAGTGCAATATATTAGATTGTATATGTATATGTTTTTTATCTTTTAAACAATAAGCTTTTAGAATTGATAGATTTCTGTTGTGTGTTCAGTTTCTATAACCTTTGATACTTAACTTAGTTTGTGACATTATGCATCGTGACATAGAACTGTCCATTAGTCAATACATGTTAAAGGAAGTCAGATATCAAAAATCTAAAATTCAGTCACCAACAAAATGTAGTTTGGTACTAGATAGCACCGTGAGTTGTGTTGATTGATTTTATTGATTTATACTGTTGATAGGATACACAACCATCGTGACCATGTTTTTATTAACCATAACCACTTTAAATATCTTATATTGACTTGTTCATCTTATAGTTTTGACACATTTATTTATCATGATTAGAGAAAAAAAATGAAAATGAGAATTGACTAAATAGTGATCAGTGACGGCAAGGACTTTCAGTATAATCTTTGTCTGCGCTGGTCGCTGTGGTCAGAATCTGTGCCGCCATCAAATTAAGCGTTAAAGAGTTAAAAGGACACGCCCAGACTCTTATATACAATGTTTTCTTGCATATCAGACAGGATTATCTACCGTTTACACCGGTGCTAGAAAACTCTGTCTTACTCCCCCCATGTAAGAAAAGTCGCGTGCTTTAAAAGACGTCATTGACGCGCGACTCTTATGAATGAATCGCGTTCTTAGGATGACGTCATTTTTCCGTTATGAATGAAGTTGTATGTTCATACGCTACTATAAGAAAAAAGTGCGTAATGATAATATCAGTTTTCATAATTTCTGTTCCGAAAGAAATTGACATGTTATATCAAACACCGGCTGTTGGTACAGACGGGAATATCTAGCTCTCGGGTAACTGTTTAGCGGAAACTAGGCAGAGCCTCGTTACCGCTGTAAACAGTTACACTCGAGCTAGATATTCCGGTCTGTACCGGTGTAAGATTCTTATAAGATGCAATATACAAGGAACAAGATGCAATATACAAGCAATCTTACTGCAACCGTATTGGTAAATAGTCTTATTATTTGGTTGAGTTACTAGCTTGAGTGCGACCCAGTTGCCTACTGTATATTGGCAATGGTTTTAGAATTAGTGACCTAGAGATAATTAATTACTCTTGTTGGTAAAAATTAGATATATCAATTTTAAACAAAATAAATCGTTATGATTTGCTGAACTAAATTTTATTTTGTTAATTAATTTAAATGTCAAGACGGTTTTTACATTTGAAAGGATTTTTAAATATCAAATGTTTTTAAAACGCTTTTTATGTGTATTTTTTGCTTTAAACAGGAGGTATGGGACATGGTAAGAAAGTTATTGTGCTGTATATAATCTTGAATACTGATTATAAATGTATTTTATTTACTTATTTAGTAATATAAGTAAAGCATGTTTTTAGGCCGCCAGCTTTTCAAAAGATGTGACTGTAATTTATTCAGGGGCGCAGCTTCCTCCCTATATGCCTTGAAACAGTGGACTACACAATGGGAAAATGTTTACTTTTGTGTTTGTAGTTTCCATTAAACATAAATACTTGAACAATTTACATGCACTTGATAGTTAATCTAGATTCAAAAAGAGGCGTTAATCTAGAGGGGAGTGATGCCCCTGCAGTTTTTTCTTCACAGAAATTTTAACCTAGCAGACTACCTACGCGCCTGATATTGCCAGTTTTACTATGCAATTTGATAAGAAAAAATATATCAGTCATATAATAATACATTGTTTAAAACTCATTAAAATGCTTGTGCTGGTCCCAAAAGGATTGTTCAATTATTACAAGTGAAGTTACTGTTTAGCTTGTTAAATTAATAGGTTGGCAGTAAAGCTTTATGTTTCGAATGATGTATTATCTGGGAATAAGTTTTAGCTAGTTTATAGATCTTGATGCTTGTCCTGGCTAAATAGTGAGTGCATATAAAAGGGGTAGGAGGAAAATGGTCCTCCTCATTATAAAATAAACGAAAAAGATACTATTCCAAAATAAAATAATATTGTCTTTCTTGCAAAGAATATAAACGGAAGCTCATATACTGGCTAAACAGTATAACCTCTAAAACTTTGTGTGTGTAAGCATTGTCTTAGTGAAAATATTAAGTTGTACATACTGTGATGTTATATGCATAAAATTAAGACGTTCCATCCATTAAAGGTCCACTATGCTCAGGAAATGCTTTAATTTTTATTTCTTAAAAGCTTGTAATTAATCAAAACGCCTAAGCGTTTCTTTTTAAATTAGAAATAATTTAGCAGTTGGTAAGTTTACAATAAGTCAAAGAGTAAAGGCAAAATATTCTGAATAATCATTGGCATAAGGACATAAAGAAGGATGTAGCTCTTATGTATACTGATAAATTGAATGTCCATTATATCTAAGAAGAGGACCAGTTTTATGGATAGTTTTGAATCTCTTGCCTCATGCTCAGGATTTTAGGTTTATTCTATGTGAACTATTTAATAAGCAGATAAACAGGAATCTAAAGATTTTGAATAATGTTGTTTTTAGGAATGTTTCTTAACCCGAAACCTGATGATTGTTTTAAAAAGGACTTATCAAACTTTGAGTTTTGGAACTGTCTACTATCAAATTTTTTTATTATCAATATGAAATTTTAAAAGTTTATCAATTAACAGAACGTACAGTCTGACGACTAGGCTTTGTACTGATGGAAAAGGATTATCATATTTCAGTCCCAATAGGCTAAGGTTTAAGAAATATCAGCAGAATAAGTAAGCTTTGTTTTAGCATGTCTGAACCTTTAAAATCAGAGTAAGTTAATATTACTTGATATATAAGTAATTCTTTATTTAGTCTTTCTTTTACAGTGTTTTAATTCATTTGACATATTGTTTATTTCATACACATATATGTATATTTACAGGGGGTAACAAACCTTGAAGCACTGTCATCAACATTACAACAGTTATGGGCTTTATCTGAAGAGGTTGCAGCTCAGCAAACAAATCGTGCACTTGGGAGATACGAGGTAATACAGTTTTTTTCTTCTCAGTCAGATGAGACATGTTCTGTCCCTCACTGCAGAAAAATGGGAAGAACATTATTTAACTTAGCTCGTTTGTTCGACTTTCCAACGTTTCTTATTAGCTTACCAGAGCCGAAGGCTCAGGGTGAGCTATATTAGTATCAAAGGGGGATGCTCCGGCGTCCATCGTCCGTCTTCATGCGTCAACAATTGTCTTCTTCTCTGAAACTACTAGGCAGATTTACTTCAAATTTGGTCTGTAGCATCCTTGTGACAGTCACACTTGAATTTGCTCATGTCATCCCAATTGGCCCCTTTTAGGGGTCAGCAGAGCTAAAAATAGAAAAAACCTTTAAACATCTTCTTCTACAGAACTAATGGATGGATGATCACCAAACTTTGTCGGTAGCATTCTTGGGTAGTCTTTTATCAAGTTTGCTCATATGAATTTGATTGGCCCCTTTTAGGGGCCGCTATAGCTAAAAATAGCATAACCTGTAAATGTCTATTTCTACAGAACAGATTGATGGATGTTCACCAAACTTTGTCTGTAGCATTCTTGGGTAGTCTTTTATCAAGTTTGCATATATTATTTTGATTGGCCCCTTTTAGGGGTCTCTAGGGCTAACAATAGAAAAACCTTTAAACATCTTCTCCTACAGAACTAATTGATGGATGATCACTAAACTTTGTCTGTAGCATTCTTGGGTAGTGTTTTATCAAGTTTGCTCATACAAATTTGATTGGCCCCTTTTAGGGGCCGCTAAAGCTAAAAATAGAAAATGTCTATTTCTAGAGAACTAATTGATGGATGATCACCAAACTTTGTCTGTAGCATTTTTGGGTAATCTTTTATCAAGTTTGCTAATATTATTTTGATTGGCCCCTTTTAGGGGCCGCTATAGTTGAAAATAGAAAAACCTATCAACGTCTATTTCTACAGAACTAGTTGATGGATATTCACTTAACTTTGTCTGTAGCATACTTAGGTAGTCTTTTATTAAGTTTGCTAATATTATTTTGATTGGCCCCTTTTAGGGGTCTCTAGGGCTAAAAATAGAAAAACCTTTAAACATCTTCTCCTACAGAACTAATTGATGGATGATCACTAAACTTTGTCTGTAGCATTCTTGGGTAGTGTTTTATCAAGTTTGCTCATATTAATTTGATTGGCCCCTTTTAGGGGCCGCTAAAGCTAAAAATAGAAATACCGTTAAATGTCTATTTCTAGAGAACTAATTGATGGATGATCACCAAACTTTGTTTGTAGCATTCTTGGGTAGTCTTTTATCAAGTTTGCTAATATTTTTTTTGAGTAGCCCCTTTAAGGGATCTCTATAGCTAAAAATTGAAAAAAAACCTTTAGATATCTTCTTCTACAGAACTAATTGATGGCTGATCACAAAACTTTGTCTGTAGTCTTTTATCAAGTTTGCTCATATGAATTTGATTGGCCCCTTGTAGGGGCCGCTTAAGCTAAAAATAGAAAAACCTTTAAATGTCTATTTCTACATAACTAAACCTTTGAACATCATTTCCTATTGAAATAATTGAGAGATGATCACCAAACTTTGTAGCATTCTTAGTGAGTCTTTTATCAAGTTTGCTCATATTAATTTGATTAGCCCGGTTTAAGCTAAAGCTTAAATGCCCCAGGTCATGGCATTTCTTCAAATTATTGTTTAAACATATTTTATGCTCAAATTTAATATTAGAATATATTGACATTCCAACACTGAAAAGCAGTTGTTTCTGGTGAGCGACTCAGTGCCATCATGGCCCTCTTGTTTATTTACCAAAACAGATTCAAATATTATGTAGATGCCCTTTAAAGACGTCTTGGATGTTAGGACAATGCAGTAATGGTTAAGGTCACTGGTGCTAAAATATGTATATATGGGTGCTTACTTTGAAAGTATCAAGGTCAACATTCAATAAAAAAAACTTGCATAAACTTTTGCATATACGCACGTCTTTCCTTTGCTGACGATTTCGATTTATGCCTATGACTAAAAAAAGCTTTCTCTTCTTTTCCTTAAAGCTTAATCGATAATATGCATTTGACGTCATAACCAGGAGTAACGCACATTTACATTTCTGTATATTTACATTTTTATTGTTTGAAAAAGTTCAAAACCAATAGGTTATTATCCATACAATCAGAATCATTCGAGATATCACATCGTTCAAAGCATTTTATCTATGGCTTAACATTGCCCTCTACCCTTCCTGAAATTGGGTATGCGGGCCGAGAACAAATTAACTACTCTGCAAAGCTCCTAACACCAGTCTTAATACCTAGTTAAAACCCAGTTACCTTGCCAATCTCTCCTATGGCAGGTTCTAATATCACTGAGGACTTTTGATTCTATCCTTGGTTTAAGCTTAAGCTCTCTATATAGCTCAAAGAAGGTCAGTGGTTTTACGCAAGATCTTAGTTGTGTCTGGAATAAATGAAGGGACAACTGAGATCTAAAAAAGTTTGGTAGTTCATATAACCTTTGTAGTAGGGAAACGTTGAACCTTTTTATTAAACAAATGTGTGGTTCAAACACTTAAAATTGAACTTATTATTGTTATTATTATTATTATAATTGTTATTGTTATTGTTGATGCTGTTGTTGTTGTTGTTGTTTGAAAAAGACAAATGTTTTAAAAGAGTAATTAATATATTTGATTTAGATAATTTGTGCAATGTAGAGGACTCCATTTTCTATTAAATTGTAGTTAAAATCTTGTAATAGTTTAATGTCTTTATTTTCAGGTAGACGGATGTTATGAAATTAATCTTTTATCATATACTTAGCACAAGTGAAGATTTGTTCCGGAATGATTCGAACCGTGCAGATATGGCCGGACAGAAGATGCCATGGCTATACGGAACATTCGTTTATATCTATATCAAAAAAGATATAATTCTATGACACACATAATCATTGAATATAGACTGTAGTAATCAAGCAAAATTTCATTAAATAAACAGTCTTAATATGGAATGATACAGCTGTTTTAGTACATCTGATTAGTTCGTTTGGTTAAGAATAATGTTAAATGACATTAATAATGAAATATTATCTGTTTAGAAAACTCTTTTATATGCTCTGTGGTAATAATAATTGATTGTTTTAACCTCGGGTAAAGAGCCTGCATAATGGTAAAGCCACACCAGGCCACATTTCTTTAATTGTACAATTTTTGGCTTTTAAATTGTAATGTTTATATGTAAATATATAAATGTATCAAAATATGATATATACTACATTGTTGTATTTTTATTTTTTAATGGCTTATACTAGTTAACATGAAAATCATTGTTTCAATTAAAACGGTTGACATTAATAAATGTTGTTAACCTATTATGTGGTGATATCTGGTTACTTTTTTTCCGTAAGTTATTGAGGATAATTCTTACCAAATCAAAAACAGTACTTAGTCCTAAATTATAAATTAAGCTTGATAGGTTCGAGACAGGGAGATCGAACAAATTGATCAGTGTCCAAAACCAGTCTTATTCACAAGTATATATACAATTGATTGATTTTTAGTAACAATGGCTTGAACAAAATTTAGCGCAAGACATACAGATAAAGTTACATGTTTAGAATAAACACCAAACTTAAATAAAACATATGTTAAATTATATCTTAATCCCTCAAAGCATTTAGAAGGAAGTTTTGGCCAGACAAATATTTTTCTATGACCTCTTTTGACATGTCAAAGATGGATATCCGTCTAGCATTAATAACATTGTTTTCAATGAAATCAGTAGCTCTGCATATTATTAATTAGTCTAGCTTGAACCGTGCCGAGTGTTTACCCTTCAGACTAGTAATCTAATAATCGCTAGCCTCATAGATTCAAACTTCGTCAGGGGCAAGTCGTTGCCAACAGCAAGAAACTTTACCCTCATTGCTGGTTAGTTCCAGGAATGGATTCGAAAGTGTGTTTATAAGCTAATAGCTTCCTGCACAATCGAATTAAAATAAATTCTGTATAAACCAAAACTGTGACACTCAACATAATGAAGAGTCTGGTAAGACTGCTCTATACTGGTTACTTTTAGTTCTAGCAGGTTAAGATTTAAGAATTAACAAAAGTGTAATGTTATGTGGTTTTGTATGTGAGTATATCACAAGTAGACAAACGTATAACTCAAATGAGAAATAAGATACACAAGTGTGTTCTATGACTACAAGTTTAATACTGAAGATAATCTCTTAACAAGAACTGTTGGACTACTTTCTAAGCATGCGCATGTATACATTTATATAAACAGTCTCATATTACATCTCTCTTCTTTTAATAAAAGCATTTGATTGTATATCATAACAAACAGACATTCAATATTAAAAATATGTTTTAAAAGTTTAAACATTGATAATATTATTGAATCTGTTTTAGAAATTATTTTAGCTATTTCATATATAAGTATAATTAAAAGCAATCATTACGAACTAATCTATTTATTTACACAATGATCGTTTATCAGATGTATAATCATCAGTCAGTTTACTTCTGATAAGTATCATTCTGATAACGAGTACTAGGCTTTACAATTCTCCCAGACCGTGTTACATAATTACCACATGTGTTAGCCAGTGGTTGAGAGTTAATAGAAGGGTCACTATTTTGTGGGAAACTTTTATCAGGTAATTTGATCTTTTGTGTGCACGATGAATCAAGTGCATTAGGGAGAAAATCGGTTATTTGATTTTCTTGGGTTTTGATTAGGAATTTCCTATTGCGGCAGTAAATTGTGCCATTTTGTGTCTTTACATTGTATGACCTTTCTCCATTCTTTGAAGTAACCTTTCCTGGTACCCATTTTTTACCAAATTGAATACGAACTGAGTCATTTGCTTGAAGTGGACTTAGACTTTTTGAGTTTTTATCAAAATAATATTTTTGTTTTGACTTGATTTTCTGCATTTTTGATTTAACCACTGATGGACTAACTGTCTGGGGCTGAAGCCTTTTTTCAGAAATTGGAACTACAGACTTTGTCCTTCGTCCCATTAACAACTGATTTGGGGTGTAACCACATTCTAAAGGTGTGTTTCTGTATTCTAAAATACATACATATGGGTCTTGCCTAGATTCTTTTGCCTTAGTTAAGGTTTTCTTAGCAATCGACACACCCTTTTCAGCCATTCCATTTGACCTACTATGATATGGTGATGACGTAATGTGAGTAAATCCCCATGATTTCGCGAACTCGGCAAATTCTGCTGACGAAAATTGCGGTCCGTTATCACTCATGCAAATATCTACAATTCCATATCGAGACATATGTGCACGAAGTTTTTGTATTACGGTATTTGATCGAGTATCTGGCAAATAGTCAATTTCAAAGAATCGACTATAATAGTCAATTGTTATCAAGTAATTCTTACCATCATGAGTAAAAATATCTGTGCCAATTTTCTGCCACGGTCTATCAGGAAACTCATGACTTATAAGCGGTTCATTTGCATTTGAATTACGATGCGAGAGACAAGTACTACACTGTAAAACAAATTCTGTGATTTGTTTAATCATGCCGGGCCAAAAGAAATTTTCTTTCCCACGCTCAACCGTTTTGTTTACACCAAAATGCCCAGTGTGTATTTGACCTATAATTTCAGAGCGGAGTGATTTTGGGATAACAATTCTTTGACCTCGAAATATAAGACCATTTTCATAACTTAGTTCATCCCTATGGTTCCAGAACTCAAGTATATCTGATGGGCACATTGATCTTTCCTCTGGGAAACCTTCAATGATTGTTTGTTTTAAAGTGAGCATTTGTTTATCACTGCTTGTTATTTCTGAGATATTTTGCAATCTTTGATCGGTGAAGTGGAGTTGTTTACATACAGTGTGCACATGTGTGTCAAGTCCTTGAACTACTTCTGACTGCGAATCTGATATACATTGTCGAGATAGGCAATCACTGACCGGGATGTGTTTGCCTGGAACCTAGATAACTTTAATGTCGTACTTCTGTAATTGTAATAACATTCTCTGCAGTCTAGGTGGTGCGGCTGACAATGTTTTTTTTATTATAACAGCGATTGGTTTGTGATCTGAGTGTACAGTCACATGTCTCCCGTATGTGTATTGATGAAAACGAGTACAACCATACAATATGGCTAATAACTCTTTCTCTATTTGAGCATAACCCTTTTCAGTTTCGGTTAAACTTTTCGACGCATATGCAATCGGTCTGCCATTTTGCATGAGACACGTGCCTATTGCGTCCTTCGAGCTGTCAGACTCTAATGTGAGTGGTGCTTTCGGGTCATAATAACCTAACACAGGTGCTTCAGATATCATGTGTTTAACCTTTTGAAAGGCTCTATCATGTTGCTCTTCCCAGCAGAATTCGACATCTTTTCTCAAGAGGCTCCTGAGGGGAGCTGTCGCATCCGCGAGATTTGGCGCAAATTTTGCAAGGTAATTAACCATACCTAAAAATGTTTCTAACTTTGGCCTCGTATTTGGAAGACCTATTTCGCTTATAGCTTTGACCTTGGACTGGTCTGGTTTAAGACCATCCTTGCTTATTACATGACCGAAAAATGGTACTTCTTGTACACCAATTTTGCATTTATCTGGGTTTAATTTGACACCCTTTTCTCGTGCGCGCTCAAGCACGTGCTTTAGATTTTTATCGTGTTCTTCCTGTGTGCGACCGTATACAAGAATATCGTCGACTATTGCAGTTGCGCCTGATAATCCTTTTAGAATTTCGCTTATTTTCTGCATAAATAAGTCACCGGAAGCCGATATACCAAACGGAAGTCTAAGCCATCTATACCTTCCGAACGGCGTGTTAAACGTAGTTAGCATTGACGAACGTTTGTCAAGCTGTAAGCCCCAATATGCATGCTTTATATCAAGAATATTGAACATTGATGCCGCGTTAAGTTTTGATGTAATATCTTCTAAAGTAGGCATGGGAAAATGCGGTCTACCTATTCTCTCATTTAATGTTTAAAGGTCAAGGCATATTCGTTATGCCCCAGTTTCGGGTGTTTTCTATAACGACAAAGGAATTAATCCAATCAGTAGACTCCTTGATTTTTGTGATAAGCTTGTCTTTAATCATTTTGTCAAGCTCTGATTTTACACGTACTCTTATAGCAGCAGGTATTCTTCGTGGGGGTTAATAGTCGGTACTGCATTTTCCTTGAAATGTAAACTGCAGTGATCATCAATAGTTCCAACACCAGAAATAGGTCATTGTATTCATTTATGACTGTTTCTCTGGTCAGAAATGTTTTATTTTTATCATTTGGGAGGGAGTGTTCCACAGAAAATGTGAGCTTAAATAGCCAAGGTTCAACGACGTTTGTAAGCCTTAGAGAGGGGATGCATTTCTATCTACCACATAAAACTTTGCAATCATTGACTGATTTCCAAAATAACAAGTCAACATGACTGTTCCCAGGATTGAAAGTGCTTCACCTGTATATGAGGTTAATTTGCAATCAGGGGCCTCAAGTGGGGTACTTAAATTCAGTTTTTGAAATTGTTGCTTGGGCAGAATGTTTGCAGCACTGCCAGTGTCAATTTTAAATGATATTGGGCATTTGTTTGGGCCAAGACAAATTTCGGTTTTAACACAGTCTGGAGAATGTAAGCTAGTACTCACCGTATTAATTGAGTATCCATCAACTGTATTGCACAAGTTTTCTTCAATGTCACTATTGTCCCCTATTTGATTGACACTTATAGCGTTTTTTTGTGATTTGCACTGCTTTGAAAAGTGATTCAGTTTGTTACACTTATAGCATGTAGCCCCCTTTGCCGGACAGTTTGTTTTTTGGTCATGTCGCGTGCCACAACGCCCACAAACATTTTGTGATCCATGTCCTTGCATCCTTCCCGTCTTAGTGGGTCCATTTGCTGATTGTTTTCTTCTATAATGCATTTGCGTCTTAACAGCGTCAATTGGTTGTTGCGCGGCTGCCCCCATGGTTGCCATCTGCTTTTGGCAATATTCGTAATTCTGTGCAATTTGTATTGCCTTGTCTAATGTTAATTTTTCGCCTTCATTTATTAGTTTTTCACGTACTTTGGAACTATTACATCCAAATACAATTCTGTCTCGGATGTTTTCATTTTTGTCAGTGAATTGGCAATCTGTAGCTTTGTTTCTTAGCCTCGTCACGAAAGCGTCAATTGAGTCACTTCCTTGAATCTCGTTCATAAACTGATATCTTGCGAATATCGGATTAAGTTTTGGTTGCACGTGATCTTTATACTTTACATAATATGTGTTAAGCTTTTTGGCGTCTTCTGCACTAAGGTCCCATGTTCGGTACACTTCTCTGCCTTCGTCACCAATCCATAGCAATAAGTATGAAACTTTTTCTTCCTCTGATTTAGATTTAAGTGGTCCAGAAAATATTAGTTCCACGTTCAATTTAAATTTTTGCCACTGTTCAATTAAATTTGAGCTTTGCCAGTTCATTACTGGTGGTGGAATGCCACTAAGATCCATTGTTGTTGTTGTTTATAAGTTTAAATCACTTTTAACTATATTATTATAATTAATCCAATGTTTAAAAAATTCGGCAATATTTCTGACACCATGTAATGTTATGTGGTTTTGTATGTGAGTATATCACAAGTAGACAAACGTATAACTCAAATGAGAAATAAGATACACAAGTGTGTTCTATGACTACAAGTTTAATACTGAAGATAATCTCTTAACAAGAACTGTTGGACTACTTTCTAAGCATGCGCATGTATACATTTATATAAACAGTCTCATATTACAAAAAGTACACGTTGAAAATAGCTGCATAATGTAAAAAAAAAATAATCAGTACTTGCACATTTAATTGAACTCCGGAGTTGGTTTTTCAGACCTGACTTCATGTTCACAAAAGATCAAGGTACAAAATTAATGTTTAAAAGGTGTCTCATAAAATATATCATATATTTAATATTCAATTATTTTGAATATCAACCTCATGAAATTCATGAAATCTTAAATTGACTAAAATACTATAAAAGAAATAAATAAATGTAAAAACTTTACAAGATATGGGCATTTAAAAATTAATACATGTACGTATTGATCCATAATTTGATCTGTTACTGTTTAAGTCATTATTATAATTTGTTCTTTTATCATTATTCCTCAATTTTAATTTTGTTGCAATTAATCTTTATATCTATGTACCATAATGATTTAGCCCTATACGATAAATAAAAGTTTCATACAGCCACCAGGATCATTTGATCTTGATCCTTTCTGTTTTTTTTATCAGGGTCAGGTGTTTACTTGGGGCATATCTACCTTCATAACTTTAATTGTGTCAGAGAATGTTTTCTTTGGCTGAGTGGTCTCTACTTTGTAAGTAGGAAGTGGCGAGTGTTAATCAATTAAACCAATTAACAAGTAAAACGGTTTCCTGCGGTGAACATTTTGATGATATAAAGATATTTCATTTAACTATTTTCAACATTATTTTGGGGGGGGGGGGGGGTAAATAAACGTTTGTATCAGGAATATAGTTGACAATAATCGGTCAATATAGAAGAAGGTCTTTGGAAACTGGTGACCGTTGAAGACCGGAGAAGGTCGAACATAAAAAAAATATTTCTTTTTAAGAAAATGATTAAATAGGCCTCCAATTTTATGAATAATTCCGAGCAAAAAATAAATAAAGTACACACACAAGTTTACGCAGAAAATATCTCTTTTTATTATGGCAGATGCCACTACGAATATTTTAATTTTGTGGATTTTCAGTATAAACAATTTATTGTTTGTAAAATTTGAGATAGATATTAAAGAAACATTGATAATTTTCAAACACATCTTTCAAGTTTGTCTACCTTAAACGGTAAAATAATTATAGAAAATTAGAAATATCACGTTATAGTTTTTTGTTCTCAATTAGGTATAATTCGGACTAATTCCCTACAGGTAAATCCGTAACGTACCGGCAACCGGTATTTAGCTAGGTTTTCGAAAAGGTCAATTAACCAATCATATACGGTTTACAGATCACGTGCTCCTCCATGTACCGAAAACAGGTGACGTGCTCCTCCATGCCTCAAAAGTTAAACGCGTACCAATACCCTGCGGTCTGGAAACAAAGGATTTACATACCGGTTCTTTCTTTTTTACCGATTTCTAAAAAGAAGTGACAAAAATGATAAAAAAAATGGGGTTTTAACATTGATTAACATAATATTTGGCCAATCTATAGTTTTGAGGGAAACCATAGGACCACTGACACACATTATATCAAAGTATTATATGAGTGGCGGTGTGGACGAGTAATTAATGCATTAAACTAGTAACCTAAGAATTGCTGGCTGCGTGGGTTCAAACCCCTCAAAGGCATAATTTGTCACCTTAGTGCAATAACGTAATAAGTGCTTCTAAATTTAATAACAGTTAATTAGATATTGCACTAAGGTAACGATATGTTTGTTTCATTTAATAGAAACTTTACATTCACTGCTTAGTATGAGATTTCACATATACGGACTGATCTCTTTTGAAAACACTCGATGAGTCCAGGAGACAATGAAGTTTAGTAAATCAAACCGTTGTGGGATATTAGTGATAACCTCTCAAGCATTGGTTGTTGTACTCAGGTTTAAGGCTCCCACGTTTACATTTTTTCGTAAACATTTACACGATTGCTAAGAGATCAAACGGTGGTACTTCTATGTACTATACTACACCATGTATTCGAGTCGCCAAATGATGACTTACTTTCTATTTTTAATACATGTAGAAATAAATGATGTTCAGGGCTCATCAAAATTGA